AGCAACTCAGTCACCAGGGTTTCGACAATCGTCACCAAACATGCATCGACATGTTAGTAGTTCACTCCTGCTAAATGTTTTTTCATGGTTTCCTTCACTCTTGATATATAGGTGCACTTTGTTCAGGGTTGACAAAATGCTGACGGAAGAATCACATCCGAGGATGTTAAGGAGGACAGTCACAAGAACCCAAACTGAAAATATAGTCTTAGTGTGTAAATGTGAAGCATATATTCCGCTATTAATTAAGCTAATGATGACATGCTTTCACAGATTATCGCCCTTAGTGCATCAGCAAACAAACTTTCCAAGATCAAGGAGCGAGCGGATTAGTACACAGTGCTCATCATGGAAGAATTTGACCCTAACAATTTGGGCTACATAGAGGTATGTGTATGTCCAAGAGAAGCCTCGCCATCTCGACGGACGATGTCTCACCAGTAAGTAATAACTTGTACCATCGACCATGTATCCACTAAAAGTATCGATTTAGATATACTGTATTTGTGTTTCATTTATACAGTATTAAAGAATGCACTGGATAGAAAAATATGAACGGAAGTCAACGGAAAAGCATCGGATACCAACCCGCGTAGTGACTGCGTAGTCCCTCTTGCCTTCCACAAGCCGGCGCGCCGGTAGCGGTCAGCCTGCGTGGTCTTCCTTGGCACGGAGATGGCGAGGCCGGCGACGTCGTCGGTGAGGAAGTTGGGGGTGTTGGTGACGCGGATCCGGTGCTCCCGGCACTTGGGAGGTCAACGCGGTCGGTCCCCACAGAGAAGGACGGCGGCGCATCGATGCGGCATCGGCGTTGCCAACGACGGCACCGATGGCGGAGGCGTTGGCGCGAAGGAACTCGGCGCGCCCGTCGGGAGGGGATTCCCTGGAGCGGAAGAGGCGGAAGCGAAGGTCGAGTTCCTGCTCCAGGTAAGCGTTCCTCCGGAGCAGCAGCTGCAGCACGCCCGGGGTCGCCTTCGCCAACCGCCGGGAGCACCGAGGACGGCAGCGGCTGGCTGTTGTGTGGTAGGTGGTGGCGCTCCGCGCCGGCGCCGGCCTTTTGCTAGCGTTTTATTTTTCTTTTGCTTTTCCAAGAGCGGTGGGGAGACAGTGGAAGGATAAGATTTGGTGATGTGTGAGGTGCAAGAGGGAGGCACGAGGCAAAGAGCGTCGGGCATGTCCAGTTCTTTCTCTTTTTTCTTTCTTTCTTTATCGATGGCTCTTTAATCAAGTAATAATTAAGTAATACTAATATATAGCGTCGGGCGTTGTTCATTCTTTTTTCTAATTATCATCACTAGACTTTTTGTCATTTGATTCATATTAGCATCGGACTTTTTTTAATTCCTTTTTTATCGGGCGTGTTAGGTTCGGCTGTATGGTGCGATTTTTTTTATACTGTCACAATGGTTTAAATAAATATTTAGTCATTATTATTTTGATAGTTTTATAAAAAGAATTAAAAGATAATAGTTTTATAAAACTATTAACACTGTTGTCATACAAGTTATCTTGTGGTCTTCTGGATGTTAAATTTATGAAGTACTTCACGAGGAGATATTTTGTCCAACAATCCTGAGTGGTATATTTTGCATCCTGTCATCATACTAATTTTTTTTGGTGAATAATCGTCGTACTAACTATTTTATGGTGTGTGTATTTTGGATCCGACACCCCCAATCAGGTATATTTTGTATCGTATCATAATACTAATTATTTTATGGTGTGTCATTATTTTGGATCCTTCAACACCGCTTATATTGTTGGGAATGAGGCATTTAAATGATTCGGTAAAAAATGATTAAAAAGGGAAATAAGCATCAAATACAGAATGTTTTCATTATAGATTAAGATACGTGCGTTGCACGTACAAGATTACTAGTGATAGTAGAAAACAAGGAAAAAAATCCCATCCTACAAAACTAAACCACGATCATTATAAAGATGCATACAAGGATAGATCTAATCATTACCAACTCTGAGTTGCAACGAAAGAAAAGTTGATGAAGATTTTTCTTGAAGTCCCTCAAACCGCCCCATGAACAGTTCCCTCGAACGAAGATCATTTACAATCTCTCTACGGATTGCACGCGTACGACACCAGTGATCCGACAGCGCTACACCATCCAGATCTTGATGATGCCGGAGTAGAAGAGGAGGGAGGAGTAGCCCTTCGGGAGGGATCAATCTATGGTGGAGAATGAGAGGGGGGCGATCCTTTAAGCAGAAAGTTGTGTGCAAAAGAGGGGGCGCCCCCTCAAGTA